TTTGACAGAGAGAGACACAGTGAGAGAGGGAACACAAGCAGGGGGAGTGGGAGAGGGAGAAGCAGCTTCCTGCTGAGCAGGGAGCCCGATGTGGGACCCGATCCCAGGACCCTGGGATCATGACCTGAGCCGAAGGCAGACGCTTAACGACTGAGCCACCCAGGCGCCCTCAATAGCCAGCTTCTAACCTCTCAGGAGGCGCCACCTTTTCAACGTCAAGGGAGACCAATTTTACACACGAGAAAAAAATTGTAAGGAATTATTTAGTCTCAAAAACACATTTGTGGGAAGTTCTCCAGCTGATACTTTTGATTTAGGCCTTATCCTGTAGGTTATATTTTAATTTAAAAACTTTAATCCAAGTTTTATTTGGTTTTCTTTGTGTAGACTCTAGCGGGATTCAGCGAAATAGATAATGTATTCTTCTGAAAGACTTGCCTCCTTAGATGTCTCAATTCCCATCTTTCAGGTATATTTTAGAACTTGGGCTAAAAGAAGTTCTCTTAGCTGACCTGACCAGCCACAGGCATATTTGGTATCCTTTCTCACCACAGTGTCCTACCGAAAAACTGGAAATCCCGGGTTGCTTTGTGACTTTCAATGGTATTCTGAGCATCACTTTTAAATATGAAGAATACAATCCTTTTTTCTTATGAGCGCAGATGCCTTAGAAATGTTCAAGCGCTCATTAATCACTGACCTGGAGAAGCTTTCCTTAAACACAGGCGCCACAGCCTGGTTTTCACTGCTCAGCCAGCTTTAGAAACTCATGGTGCCCCACCTTCCCCGGGGAGGGTGGGGCACGGACGTGTGCAGATGAGCCGCAGGCCTTCATGGAGAAGGGGCTCTGCTTGCTGATTTACTCCTCCTGTGCTGGGCTCATGGTGCATTTCAGTTGTTTTTTCTTTTTTTTAAGATTTTATTTATTTATTCAAGGAAGAGAGAGAGGGAGATGGCGAGAGAGAGCTCAGGTGGAGGGCAGGGAGAGGGAGAAGCAGACTCCCCCCTGAGCAGGGAGTCCGATGCAGGCTCAATCCCAGGACCCTGGGATCATGACCTGAGCTGAAGGCAGACGCTTAACCAACTGAGCCACCCAGGCACCCTGGTTCATTTCAGTTTTAAAGACTTTGTTTCAGTAAAGACGAATCCATACACCAGTGTCTAAGTACAGGATGCCTGGAGAGTGGCACAGTGTATCTTTTGGGTCAAAGATGGCGATGTTGAAGCTGAATTTCTGCCCCCACCCTCCAAAGGAATATTTATGATGATCCCTCAATACACACCCTGGCTTGGGACCTAAAGCAATTAGTTGCTAGGCTCAGAGTTGAGGTATAGGGTTTTCCTTTCCACAGCTTGAAATGCCTCCCCCCCATAGAAGTGCTCAGGAGGGTCAAGGAGGTGCAATCCCTTCCCCTAGCCATGTTGGGTTGGTTTTCCCTGGAGTCCTCACATCTGAGGCAGGCTGTCAAGGCATCCTAAAGCTCAAAAACCACCCACAAAACAGCACAACCTGATGGCACCACCAGGGACACACAAGACCAGACCGTAATGCATGTGACCACTGGTATGCTGGTAAATATTTAACTACTGGTTGTCTGGGGTGAACGTATGCATACATATGTGTATGTAAGCTTATTATAAACATGGCTGATACAAAGGATGTAGAGTACATGACTTATAAGTGAAACAATATATGTAATACTTTTTGTTATAAATCCATACACTTACAACTTCAGTACGATTTCCTATTTCTTATAAAATCCCATTTTTCCCAGTTTTATTGAGATATAATTGACATATAACCTATTGTTTTTTATAATTCTATCACCAACAATAATTCTATAAAATCACACTATGAATAAATGTTTGTAAACATTTTTGTGATTATGTGATTTACAAATGAGTGTAGATCTGATAAATGATTGCTGATATTTTTGTTTGCTTTATTATTTTTTTAAAGTAATCTTTACACCCAACATGGGGCTCTAACTCACAACCCCAAGATCAAGAGTTGAATGCTGTACCAACTGAGCCAGCCAGGTGCCCCTATTTTTGTTTATTTTAGTAAGACAAAAATGAAACAGCCAAGGACTATGTAGGAACTTCATTCATTCATCAAAGACATAGCAGCTTCCTTGCTGAATTGGATAATAGCTTTTAAATATTGGAAGACTGTATCCTTAATTTTTTATGCTATTTATATATAATGGCAAAAAGATATAACACACTTTTAGGTTTAATGTGCTTTCTTAATTCTAGACAATCTACAAAACAATAAATCAAGCCCATATTTGTAGCATTTGCTGATTTCTGTAGTGTAAATACTCTCATCACAGCTGACTTCAAACTACCAACCTGTTGTCACTCAATGCAGAGTTGGGAAGAATGCATAGTAGCACACTGTTAGTATTTTCCACCAAGTAAACATTATAGATGTAACCTCAGGCGTATCAATAATAGAAAAATAAGAAGTGATGAGTTTTGAGTTTTACTAGCTTGTTTTAAATATAAGTTACTTGAGTTTATATAATTTAATTTTTAATAATGGCTATATTTAGGGGCGCCTGGCTGGTTCCGTCAGTAAAGCATATGACTCTTGATCACGGGATTGTGGGTTCAAGCCCCATGCTGGGTGTAGACATTGCTAAAAATAAACTCTTTTTAAAAAAAATAATGGCTCTGTTGAACAGCCAGCTTATAAACTTCCTGAAAATCTAGCAGGCAGCTTTCCTGAGCCAGATGTAGTCCAGCACACTGCTGGATGTGATCACAGAGGCACTACATCAAAAACAAGGAAGAGGAAAACCTCCTGTGTGTTCAGAATCAAAGTTGTCGATGAGCCTCCTTGTGGCTAAAAACAGATGCTTTGATTTTTCATTGCAAATGAAATCGTAGGTTTGTTTGATTTAAGTGAAAAAAAAGACGCCTTGATTGTGGGCAGAGGAAAAGATTTGTCAGGTTTATGGCATGCCCACGACTCCCTCCCAAGACTCTTAACCAGGCTCCATACCCAGCGCAGAGCCCAATGCGGGGCTTGATCTCACTACCCTGAGATCATGACCTAAGCCAAAATCACGAGTCGGACGCTTAACCGACTGAGCCATCCAGATGCACTCCAATAAATCAATTTAAAGAGACATGGGGAAACAAAAATAAACATAGTATGGATTAAACCACAAACTGTGCTTGTTTAATGTGTGGTGTGTGAGTTACATGTTGGAAAAACATCAAGTCAGTGTGCAAAGAACCAGTTTGATATCTGTGATTCTAAAAATATCTGTTTCTGATACAAAGAGAAGAGATACTCAGTCCTTTTGCTGATAGCAAAAACTTCCTGCATTTGAGATTTCATTAGCTCTAAGTCACCAAACTTAGGTTCTAGTTTCTTTCTTGCTGGGGATGCCATTAGGCATAGTAGAAATGGAGGCCCACCCATTAGGGGTCCAGCTGCCATCCTGAATCCTCCCCACTCAATCCACCCTGTTTATCAGGATTTCCAGGGGAGACAAGGCTACCCACCTGCCAGCAATAAACAAGCCTTTTCAGAATACAACTATGCCAGACTCAACTGGAATGGGGAAAATAAAGCAGATATTTGGATAATTCAGTTTCAAGAAAGCTCTTTCCCTTGAAATTTCCGTTTCACTTAAAAGTGATTTTTTTTTCCTTTTGGCCATGAATCATCCAGACAGTTTCTACAACTTACACATAGCAATTTTTTTTTGTGGTTGAAGGAAAAATAGTTTGTTCAGTAGCAGTCAATAACTGTTATTCGTGTCCTGCCATGAGATTCCCCGGGAGATCTTTCGTCTGTGACTCATGATCTGTGTTTGTTTATTCTTTGATGCAGAAGCCCATTTTCCTGTGTAAACTCTGAAACAAAACCATCAGAGGCCAGCAAGTGCTTGCATGCTGGTACAAAAAAGTTTTCAGTGTCTTTTCATTATCCTATGATCTCCATGGAATTATCCACTAAAAACACCGATGCCCACTAGGAGATATTATTATCAATATAAATATCTCAATATCGTTAAAAAAAGTGCCCAGTTTGGCCACTGGCAGAAGGTTTTCATTAATATTATTTCTGATATGTTGTATACAAATATTGAATATGGGTAAAAGCAATAAAAGAACAGAAAAAATTGAATTTATCTAAAACCAGAGAACAATATATGGTCCTATGGTTTCTTTTAAGAAATAATATCATACGAGTTTTTATTTCCCATTTTTATATCGATTGAGACCATTGCTTCGTTAATATGCTTGAATCTGATAGAACTTGGTAGAGACACTCTGGAGTTAAACATCAAACCCAGAGTACTACAACAACTATCATCCATAAGCTACTTATCTAAATCTTGACACTTGGCTTATTAATTATAAGGAGGCAGTTATATTGGAAGGAAGCAGAGCCTTTTTCTGTTTATCATTTTGCACTTGTATTTTGCAGCCTCTGAAAATTTTTATTTTGTTTTTTTGTTTCTAGGGTTACAGTGACTGCAATGTGCAACATGGACTTCAGCCGATTTCCCCTGGACACACAAACGTGCTCCCTTGAAATTGAAAGCTGTGAGTAGACTGTCCGGGACATCATCAGCACACAGATGGCGAGTAATTCCCAACACCACTAACTCTCAGTAGCAGGAACAGCATGTGCTCCTTATTCATGGCTAGTGATTTTTTCAAGTGATTTCAAGTGATTTTTTCTTTTTTTTTTTAGATTAAAGCCAAGTGCAGGGTAATTTTGAAAATTAGGAACAAATTTGAAACTAAAACCTCTGTTCCCATAATTGACCCTTTCAAATGCGCTCTGGCAATGGTTTTCAACTTGGTTCTGCAGGAACTTGGGCAACTGCTGGGGAGGGGGGTAGAGGGCTCAGCAAACGTGGGTCTCCTTGTGCAACTATTTCTACCCGCTGTCCAATGTGTGAGCTCATTTTTGATCTGTTTTATTGTTCCTCTGAATAAGATTTCTGTTGAAGAAAAGATTGCTTGGCAAAAACAAGTTTGGTAACAATTGCCCGAGGGAACTGCCAAGGTAAGAACACAGGTGGTGCTTGAGAGCCTCAGGCACAACTGAGGGGCCTCAGGACACTTGCACACATGGACGCCCTGCACAGGTTAAGAGCCAGCCCCAGGAAGAGCAAGACTGAGGCAGCATCAAGGACTACTCACTTGCATCTCCAGCTCTCTACACAACTGCTCTCTTTTTCAATCTTTGCCCAAATGCTTCCTCTGGTGGGCACAGTCCGGACTCCCCCATAACTCCTGCTGGTCCACTCCTCCGAGTGAATACCAGCACACACCCACTGGCCCTTCCTGGCTGGTGACCAGGCCCTAGTGAAGAATCTCTTTGACACAGTGCACCTTTGTAAGCCTGCCTGCATTTGTGGCAATGAGTCAGGGATCCCCTGGCCCCAGCCATCTGGGGCCGAGGAGGGCAGGGATGTTGACACAAGGGTCAAATGGACAGCTCCATAGGGCACTGATTGTGGGAAAAGGGAGTTAGAAATCCCAGGACCAACAGCATAGTAGCTTTCCACCTGCTGTCATTTATTTCATCCTCACCAGATCCTGGAAGAAGGTTACTGTTATCTCCATTATACATGGAAGGATGTAACTTGCCTGAGGACATAGCACTAAGGACTTAACTCATTGGCTCCAGTACCCTACTTTCCCTCGTACACCCAGGCAGCTCCATTGGGAATGGAGCGTCTTCCAGGTTGCATCAGGTAGGATGCACAGAGAAGCAGAATATTGGAGACACATAGTAAGAGATAATGAGTGCAAGGAATTGGCTTGCATGAGCGTGGGGGCTGGTGAGGTAAGTCTGCCATCTGCAGGGCAGGCTGGTGGGAAGGGCAGCTGGGAACCCCCAGGTGGGACCTGAGCCTGCCCTCCACGGGCAGAATTTCTTCTTCTTGGGGAAACCTCAGGTCTGTTCTTAAGGCTTTTCAACTGATTGGATCAGGCCTACCCACATTATCCTGGATCATCTCCTTTACTTCAAGTGAACTGGTTGTAAGCATCCCGTCCACCAAGCATCTTCAGAGCAACACCTGATTTAGTGTTTGATTGATTAACTGGGTACTCCAGCCTAGCCAAGTGGATACATGAAACCAACCATCACCAGGTCAAGGTTAAGACATAGAATAAAACAGAGGCATGAAATGGGGCATCAGGGAGCTCCAGAAAGAACTGTTTAACACGTGAGCAGACTGGACTGGCCACTGTTAGGTTTTACCTCAGTTCTGTCCAGGCTGTAGGTAGGTTTGCTCAACTGGAGTCAATGTGTGTGCTCACCTAAAGTAGGCGAGGGTCAGGATGTGGCAGTGCCAGAGGGCGTGGTCCTTCTGGGGGACTCACTGTGATTTTACCCTGGGTAGGAACAACCGGAAGCCTGCAGAGAAGGGACTTGTGGTCTGCGGCCATCACTTTATGGGTCCTTTCTCGCTCGAATGCAGCCCTTATTACCTTGCGAGTATTTAAAGATATTCGGCATCAATGGATGCATTACTACACTTTGGAAGGAGAAAAGAAAGGGCTAAATCAGCCTAGGCTTGTAAGGCAGTTTTGCCACAATTTCACCATTTCTGCTCTACAAGTATAGCAATTTCATTTGTGTGAACCTAATAAATGGCAGGCTGAATTGTGGGGTGAACGCTTTTGCAGGAATTAGGAGCATCTAGGCTTGAGAGCTTTGCTCTGATGACTTCTGGAAGACTGGGGAGAATTAAGTTGTCTTTTTTAAATGTTGTTTTGCCTTGTTTAGACTGTGGCTTGTTTATTCAAATTCTCTTACCACCATCCCAATAGTCCGTGTGGGAGATCTGGAGCTGCTCCCACGGAGCCCCACAGACAGGCTCATCTTCCCACCGCCGCATGCCTGTGCCTGACACTGTCTCCCATCTTTTCAGATGCCTACACGGAGGACGACCTCATGCTGTACTGGAAAAAGGGCAATGACTCCTTAAAGACAGATGAACGGATCTCGCTCTCCCAGTTCCTCATTCAAGAATTCCACACCACCACTAAACTGGCTTTCTACAGCAGCACAGGTGGGGGTTAGCGTGGCTGGGTGGGTCATCCTCTGTCTTAGGGAAGGTGTGAATTGGTTGTCAAGCAGAGCTTGTGCCACCTGGATTTGAAGCCAAAGGTGGAAATCCTAAATCGGGTCTAGGGGGTGGCATGCACCGGGGGAGAGGTGATTTTTGCATACCACCAAAGCATCCGAAGTGATAAGCTAGAAAATATTAATAAGGACTCAAACATAAGCTAGGTGAGGAGGTTTGTTTGAGCCAATCATTTTGCCAGTTTAGCAGCTAACATCTTTCCCCCAGTAGGATTCCCAGAACCCCGTCCTCTGTAGGCAAGAAACAGTTCAGTTTTAGCTCTGTTGATTTCCATTCTCTCTGTTCTACTCAACTAACCTCTCCCTCTCTTTTTCTTTTTCCTGGAACAAATTCTCTCTTAACTACTGCTTGCACAGGCCCTCTTTATGATCTTGTGAGCTTCCGGGCTCAGGTGGGAATGGGCTTGCCATCCCTCCTTGCCTGGAGGCCTGCCTGCGCTCTTCCTTCTGGTAGCTGCGGTGACAGCTCTCTCCACCCCCTACCTCAGTCTTCACTAATCACCCTTCAGGGTGATATTATTCAAATCTTTATGTAGTTTCTTCCTTCCTTCCTTCCTTCCTTCCTTCCTTCCTTCCTTCCTTCCTTCCTCCCTCCCTCCCTCCCTCCCTCCCTCCCTCCCTCCCTCCCTTCCTTCCTTCCTTCCTTCCTTCCTTCCTTCCTTCCTTCCTTCCTTCTGTAGCTCCATGCCCAGCATGGAGCCCAACACAGGGCTTGAACTCACGACCCTGAGATCAAGACCTGAGCTGAGATCAAGAGTCAGATGCTTGGCCAACTGAGCCACCCAGGCGCCCCTCTTTATGTAGTTTCTATTGCCAAAACACTGCATGACTGCACAGGAAGTGCAACCTTTTAAGTCTTCTAATCTGTGGCAGCGCATACTCTTTTACTCCCAGCCTACCATGGCAATCCAGCATATCTCATCTTCTATACACATCACAGGAGTCTTGGTTTTCGGGGGACCCCCACTTCATCCTTAGCATTCTGATACTTCCTCTTGTCTTAGTCTGTTTGGGCTGCTATCACAAAATACCATAGACCAGGTGGCTTCTAAACAACAGAAATTTACTTCTCACAGTCCTGGAGGCTGGGAAGTCCAAGATCAAGGTGCTGGCAGAGTCAGTGTCCCATGAGAGCCTGCTTCTTAGCTCATAGACAGCCACCTTCTCACTGTGTCCTCACGTGGGGGAAGGCGCAAGGGAGCGATCTGGGGTCTCTTTTAGAGGGGCACTAATCCCACTCATGATGTAATCACTTCTGAAGGCCCCACTTCCAAATACCATCACATAGAGGATTATGTTTCAGCATACAGATTTGGGGGCGGAACACATTCAGTCTATAGCACTTGCACAGTCTCTCTCTGTGACTGCTTTACAATGATAACCATTGCATTATAATTGTCCAGGATGCCAGGTTTTCAAGTTAGTGTTGCCAAGTCTCCATTTCATGTTCAGTCCTCGTCATACCTGGTTTATCCTGCTTTTTCCTTTTCCTTCCATTTTCTCCTGTTCCTTTGAATGCCTCCATGCGTATTTGCTCCTTGTAGAGAACGCAAGGGTAGAGCTAAAGCATAGCTGAATCTGTGATGGTTCGCTGTTCCTAAATGCAATGTTTGGGTTAGCTTGGTATTTTAACTTTAAATCACTGTCCTCCATAAAGAAATCTAAAGGGGCTTGTTTAAATAAGTGTTTCTCAAACTTTATCATGCATATAAATCATGTGGAGAGTATTGTTAAAAAAGGAGATTATGATGCAGTAGATCTGGGGTGGGGCTGAGAGTCCGCATTTCCAACAAGCAGCCAAGTGATGGTGACATTGCTGGGCTCTGCCCCAAACGATGAGTAACGAGAGTCTTAAATAAACCTGTCAAGGGGCTTCCTTTACGTACAGGACAGGGGCCAAAGATGTCGTGAGAGGGACTCACCCATGTGGTGTAGGTTATCATATAATCACTCTATCCTGTGGTTTTTCTCACTTCCACTCTGTAAAGGTATGGCAAGTTTCCAGTGAAGTGTCTAAGGCGTTTATGAGTCCCTGCATAGAATGGGTTGTGTGCAAGAGCTGAGTAGCTACGGTGTGTGTGATCTTTTCTTCCTGTGTCCGCCAGGCTGGTACAACCGTCTGTACATTAACTTCACGCTGCGACGCCACATCTTCTTCTTCTTGCTCCAGACCTACTTCCCTGCCACCCTGATGGTCATGTTGTCCTGGGTGTCCTTCTGGATCGATCGCAGAGCGGTGCCCGCCAGAGTCCCTCTAGGTAAGGAACATCTCAAGTGTGTCCTTCGGACACCCGAAAATACAAGTAATTTCTACCAGATGAAACCATTCATTTCAAATTGGTTCTAACCCCCCGGTGGCATGATAACTTGGAAACACCGGGTTATTGATTCACAGGTAAAATGCCATTATTAAGACCCTATGTGGCAAAACTGTTTCCAGGGCCCCACGAGTGCCCATGCAAACAACCTACCTTCAGTTTTGTTAGAACCATGTTCTGGGGTGGATGGTCCTGGTGTGTGGGTGCTTTTTCTGCCTACCTACATAGGGAAACCACGTTCTATAACAGGGTTTCTCTAAAGGAGGCCCAAGGGATCTTTGCAATGGAATCTCTGGGGGAAATTGTTAAAAATGAAGATTCCTGTGTCTCGTCTACATGTATAGAATCAGAATCTCTGAGAAAGGACCGGAACCTACATTTTGAACAAGGTCTCCCAGTAATTCTTCTACATACTCAGGTCTGACAATCCCTACTCCATAAGCATTTGATGAATAGCTATTTGCCATCAACTCTCTCCCCTACCTTAATGTCACACCCACTCAGTCACATCACCATTGCTCAGATGGTTCCGAGGCTTCAAGAGGGAGGGTGACCCCCCCCAGGTTTTAGTGACACTGAGTTGGAGCTGGCCCTTAAGGTGACCCCAGTCCCCTGTGACTTGGTATTTGCTAAGCAAATGTTCTGAGCTTAATGTGAAATCCCAGGCAAACACCCCTGACAAATGCCCTGTCCTTTAACAGTTGTTCTATAGCTTGCACAGTTACTGTGCTAAATAAACAAACATTCTAGTTTTAAAAATCTAACACCCCTAAATGAGGCTAACATCATTCGTGGTAAAATTGACCCCTGCATCCTCAAGTCAACATTGCTGACTGGGCAGCCAGGTCCAGCATGGGGATGGTTGTCAGAATTGCTCTCACAGCTGATAATACAGGCCCAGGACTGCAAGATTCTACACCAGCAGCAAGGACACAAGTACTGAAATATACCTGGTGCACTTTTTCCCCTTTTTGGAGAAGTAGTTACAAGAAACACATATATACCTGCTCATATATATAATCTCTGTTTTTTATTTATTTTTTTATTTTTTAAAGTAATTTCTGTGTAGGGGGTTGAACTCACAACCCCGAGATCGAGAGTCACATGCTCTACTGACTGAGCCAGCCAGGTGCCCCTATAAATCTCTGTTTTAACCAATTGAATGGAAATAAATATCTTGCCGCCAAAAATATCTAGGGTGGGCTCTCTACAGAAGGACAAGGTGAGACAGGTGTCATGAGTATGTGGAGGGGGGAAGTATGAGAGGTGGAGGAACAGGAGAAGCTTCATAAAAGCTAAATGTTTAGGGGCACCTGGGTGGCTCAGTCAGTTAAGTGTCTGCCTTCAGCTCAGGTCGTGATCTCAGGGTCCTGGGATCCAGCCCCCTGACAAGCTCTCTGCTCAGCGGGGAGTCTGCTTCTCCCTCTCCCTCGGTTCTCTCTCTCTCTTGCTCTCGCTCTCTCAAATAAATAAATCTGTAAAAAAAAAAAAGCTAAATCTTGAAAGATGATTTTGTGTTTGCTAGACAGAGGGGCAGAGATGGAGATTTCTAGGCGGAAGGAGCAGAAGGGACAAAGAACAGAGGTGTGAAGCCCCCCCAGGGGTTCGGTGAAAGGCAAACGCCTGCTTATTTCTCACTCTGTTTGCAGGTATCACCACCGTGCTGACCATGTCCACCATCATCACGGGCGTGAACGCCTCCATGCCCCGCGTCTCCTACATCAAGGCGGTGGACATCTACCTCTGGGTCAGCTTCGTGTTCGTGTTCCTGTCGGTGCTGGAGTACGCAGCCGTCAACTACCTGACCACCGTGCAGGAGCGCAAGGAGCGGAAGCTGCGCGAGAAGGTGACCTTACCACAAGCGAGGTGTCTGCTCAGGGATAGAGCCTGGTCCGGCTCAGGACCGTGGGCAGGTCAAACCTTCTCTGTAAATTGGGGTGGTGACATGCCCTCCTCCACCTACTTCACCAGCTGGTGTGAAAAGCAAACAAAATAATACGTTAAAACAGTGGGAAATTTACCCTGGGCTACATCTTTCAGTCATTCAAATATTTATTTAGCACCTACCACATACCAGCAGCTAAGCCAAGTTTTAAGACAAAGTCCCTTTAATCGTGGTGGTGTTCATTGTTTAGTCCTAAAAATAGATGACAGTTCATCATGCTGAAACAATTATTTGTGAGCCCAGAGGTGTAATTAAAAACAAACAAACAAACAAATAAACAAAACTTCCAGGGAAGCACATTCTCCATTCTAGGAACTCTCCTTTCATATGTGACCCCCGGGATCATCTTCCCTCCCACTCGGCTTTTCTTTCTTCCTCCTCTCTGCAGTCAAATGGTGCTCGCTTGGCAGCACATATACTGTCTGCAGTCAAATGGTTATTTCCTCCAGAAAACTAGAACTAAGTAGGAGTAAACTATCTCCACAATGCTACACCTTTCAATCCCCACCCGATCACACTACACACACACACACACACACACACACACACACACACACACACACACACACACACGTAATGTTATCTGAAAACAGTCTTATCAGGGCTCCTATCAGTTTATGACCTCAGGGATAACAGGACAATTATCTGATCATGAACCTTCAGGGGTTGGTCTCTGAGACATGTGATGCTCCCTCGGAGTTGCTCCTTAGACTTGGAACAAAACAGGACACCTGCTCTTTTGGCATGTTTGCAGTGCCAACACCGTTATTTTCCCATGCCCTGCCCCTAACTGGGAATAAAAGAAACTAGAAAAGGCAACCCCCCGCCGGCATGTGGTTTCTTCTGAGAGCTGGAGCTAAGCTCGCATCCCAGTGTGTGTTTGCTGTGTTCTCAGCTTCCTTGCACCTGTGGAATACCCCAGCCACGCGGGGTCATGCTGGATGGCAGCTACAGCGACGGGGAGGTTAATGACCTGGGCAACTACATACCGGAGAATGGAGAGAAGCCAGACAAGATGATGGTGCAGCTGACCTTGGCCTCGGAGAGGAGCTCCCCCCAGAGGAAAAGCCAGAGGAGCAGCTATGTGAGCATGAGGATCGACACCCATGCCATTGATAAATACTCCAGGATAATTTTTCCAGCGGCATATATTTTATTCAATTTAATATACTGGTCTATTTTCTCATAAATGCCTGTTAACTCTATAAATTTCACATTCTTCTGTATGTACCACAGAAATACCTGTATGATGAAAGTAATTTAAGGTTATGATGCAATTAAAGTTCCCACTACCCGCCCTTCACCAGCTTTCCAAAACTACATGGACAAGACACCCCCTGGTTTATTTTGCACTTGGTAACCACCTATTGTATCCACAGCATTAAACTCCGTGCTGCCAGGAATAGGACACCCGTAGCAACTGGTGATACTTGTTACCAGGATCCCCTGGAAGAGCACACTGCCCATGTTGTGGACACACTGTAGCTCAACCTCTTTTAGACCCTAGGTGCTTATTCACATGAATGATGCCCTCCATGTGCATGTCGTTATATTCTCCGGACTAGATGGAATTGGGAAGCACCTAAAACTCCCATGGAACGTACATGTCCCCACTTTGACCAAAATTAATGTTTCACTTCATAGTCTATTCCCTATTTTTCAATGTGTCTCCTCATGTTTATTTTAATACAAGGCAATAATAATTTTCTTATTTTTATTTACATCTTATGGTTCATGAGGTTTCACTTCTTCAGAAGCAAAGCTCTTTAGATCGGTGCAATGGCTTCTGATTTGGGGTGGAGGGGGCAGTTTCCCTGGTAGGGAAACTATGAAGAAGAGGGTCTGCATTCTGTCAGTTCTGTCGTAGAGATAACTAGCCTAGAAAACTTGTGTTTCAGTGTTTCCTGTTTCATAATCACTGTTTCATGTAGCTCTGCCGTGGAGCATGTCCTAGTTCAAAGTGAAGTCCTTTCTCAGTAGTGTGATACCTTCACTGAGGAACTTGGAAATAGACAGTTTTCTGCACATACATTTCAAGAAAATGCATCATTTGGGACTACTACCTGTTACTCATTAGGATGAGAAATACTCACATGGTTTCTGAAGAAAAAAAGAACACTGGAAAGAAGAAGAAATGGAAAGACATCACTGAACATCTCCAGTTACACTTAGTAAATGCCACCATTTTCTGTGAACCAGAAAACAATGGCCACCTCTCGCCAGGGCATGGGATAAGAGAAAGGGTTCTAATTTGACGTATTCTTTAAAAATATAAATAAGTTATTCATACTATATATCTACAGGATCAACCGCCACCAAACTTATCCAAATAGCATTTGTTTGAAACTCACTTTAATAAAGTGAATTCTATACACAATGATGTCATTTTCTTTCCACAGTTAATTGAACTTCATATGAGAACCATACTTCATTCTAATATGAAAATAAAACCGTATTTGCCCAAATCCTAATTACAAGGTAGTCTCCCATTTCTCCCAATAAAAACTCATGAAAACAAAGTTTTTTGGCAAACTCAGGAAGAGGGATATAGATGAAATAAACATTAGCTTTTGATATTTAAAGACATTTTTAAACATTACTTTTTTCATGCTTATTTTAGGAAACAATTTCAATCAAACTCTTCACAAACTTCCTTGCCACTCACTTCTTCCTCATGACCAGAGCCACTCTGAGTCATATAACAAGGTTTCCAGGGCACATCATCTGAATTTCCATCTACTTTGTTTGGAAAACTCATATAGGATGCTGCATTAGTCTGCTCAGGCTGCCATAGCAGGTGGCTTAAACAACACAAATTTATTTTCTCTTAGTTCTGGAGGCTGAAGTCCAAGATCAAGGTGTTGGCAGGTTGGTTTCTCCTGAGGTCTCCCTCCTTGACTTGCAGATGCCCACCTTCTTGCTATGTCCTCGCATGGCCTTTTTCTCTGAGCCCATGCATCCCTGGTGTCTCTTTTCTATAAGGACACTAGACATACTGGATTAGAGCTCCACCCTTATGATCTCATTTACCTTAATTGCCTCTTTAAAAGCCCTATCTCCAAGTAAGTGACAGTGGGAGTGAAGACTTCAACATATAAATTGGGGACAGAGTGGGGCAAAATCTAGTCCAGAACAGATGTCCATGGGAATTATCCATTTGCATAATAGTACATCTTATAGGTGTTTACTCTTGATCTTTATAACATAATCACATACAGTATTGTTTTTTAAAGTTTATAGTGATATCCACACTGGTAGTTAGGAAGAAAAAGCGATTAAATTCATGCTAAATTTCTTTGCTGTCTTAAAGCAATTCTCTCAGGGGACCTCTTCAAGCATTTCAATGCTAATGTTTTCTCAAGGCTGTACTTTGCTGTCAAAGCTCTGTGTTTGAGAGAATTCTAATATGACTTTGTAAAGACCCAAATATAAAGCAACTGTTTCTGAGGGATAATTTTGGAGAGAACCTCACCATGTATGTGGGCATCTATAGTACTTAATAAGTTTTTGCTGGCGTGACTGGAGAACAGGAAGATGTGGGGTTAATAATATTTTCTGGTTAAGAGGCAGGTACCATCATATGCCCATACTGAATAATTTTTCAAGAGTCAAAATACTGGGGGCCCCTGGGTGGCTAAGATGGTTAAGCATGTGCCTTCGGCTCAGGTCATGATCCCAGGGTCCTGGGATGGAGCCCTGCATCGGGCTCCCTGCTCAGTGGGGAGTCTGCTTCTCCCTCTCCCTCTGCCTGCCCTCCCCTTGCTTGTGCTCACTCTCTGTCAAATAAATAAAAAAATCTAAAAAAAAAGAGAAAGTCAAAATACTGTAAAATACAGTTGATTTGAACTATATCAAACATAGTTTATTCTCTGGTAGTTCAGAGGGTAGTTCAAGATTTTGAGGGTTTATCGTCCTTGTTGTGCTATAATGTGGACATCATAAAGATGTTAAAAAACAGTGTTAGCAAGGAAGGAACTGGGGTCAGTCAGACCAGCTTTTACTTAATGGTAATATTCTCTTTCTGTGTCATATATCCCTAACCAATATTCATTAGTTTTTTCATAATTCATATTTTTTAAATGATTTTTTTTTTAGATTTTATTGATTTGACAGCAAGAGAGCGAGCACAAGCAGGGGGAGTGGCAGAGGGAGAGGGAGAAGCAGACTCCCCACTGAGCAGGGAGCCCGATGTAGGGCTCAATCTCAGGACCCTGAGATCATGACCTGAGCTGAAGTCACATGCTTAACAACTGAGCCACCCAGGGGCCCTCATAATTCATATTTTAGAGAAGAGTGGTGATGCTAGATATTAGGAAGAATAAAAAATGGCTTGTTAGTAACAATGAAACCTCACATTTGTAAAACCCAGTTATAAACAAGTACTTTTTTTTTTTAAGTAGGGTGGAGCCCAGTGCAGGGCTTGAACTCACAATCCTGAGATCAAGACCTGAACTGAAATCGAGAGTTGGATGCCTAACCTACTGAGCCACCAGGTGCCCCAGAAACAAGTACTTTTTTTAAAAAAGATTTTATTTATTTATTTGTCAGAGACAAAGAGGGAGAGAGCGAAAGTGCACAAGCAGGGGGAGTGGCAGGCAGAGGGAGAAGCAGGCTCCCCGCTGAGCAGGAAGCCCGATGCGGGACTCGATCCCCTGGGATCATGACCTGAGCCGAAGGCAGACGCTTAACCATCTGAGCCACCCAGGCGCCCCACAAACAAGTACTTTTGATGTGGCACTTTGGGGTCTGGGAGCAAATGGTCAGGAAGGAATTCTTGAAATGTCTTTGGTGCAGAAAAAGGTGTGTGTGTGCTTTAAGAGTGCAAAAAGAGGTGGGTTTATTAAATGGACAGGACCCGTGGGCAGAAAGCTGCACTGGGCTTGTGAGGAGTGACTGATTACATACTTTCAAGTGGGGAGGAGGTTAGGGATAGCATTAAGTCTCTAAAGAATTTGGAAGCAAGGTTTCCAGGACCTTGGGGGCCAGCTGTTGTTTGGATAAGGTCATTTACTTCTGTCTGGTAAACCCTTAGTCAGGAAACCCTTCAAATGTGTTATCAGTGGGCCATCCATTTGGATGGTTGCTAACATATCTTGGAGAGGTAGAGATAAAGTAAGTTTCCAAAGGGATTTTCATATGTTAAAGAAGACTTACAGGATCCTGGAGGTAGGGCTAATGTCAAGCTAAAGTTGCCTTTTGCCTCTAGCAGAGTACTAATACTGAAGCAGTTGAGTTCTTGGAGGAAGGAAGGTCACTCTGCCTGTCCTAAGTACTTGTCAATGGGCTGGAAGTTGTAAGGAAGTTTAATTTTTTCTACATTTCTTTCGCCTTTGTTCTCCACATCACTTTCACATAGTGTATTTGTATTAAAGATTCCTAAGTTTCAAGTACAAAAAACTTTCATTTTGTGGTAACTCACTAAAGAACTCATATGAAGAGACATAGACTAAGAAGTCAGTGAAGGGGGCACCTGGGTGGCTCAGTTGGTTAAGCGTCTGCCTTCGGCTCAGGTCGTGATCTTCTATCCTGGGATAGAGCCCCACATTGGGCTCCCTGCTCAGCAGGGAGCCTGCTTCTCCCTCTTCCTATACCCCTCTCCCAGCTTGTACTTGCTCTCTTTCTCTCTCTCATATACATAAATAAAATCTTTAAAAAAAAGTCGGTGAAAGAAAAGAATAAGATGAACTCTTGATGAAAATTTAATATCTAATTAGCAGGGAAAAAAACAAACAACACGTCCATTTTCAGGCCAAATGATAGTTGAACACAACCCTAATGACTGCAAGATAAAATTCAAACTCTTTTTGGTCTATACAGCATTCCACAGTTTGATTTGTCTGATGAATGTGACAGCATCTTTGGCATTTTGTAACTTGAACCCTCCTATACCTGATTCTCCAATATATAAAAGCCCTTTCAACTTTTTATAGCTCTCATCTATTCTGAAAACTGAAAATAAGACAGGGAAACACAATGTATAAAGAAATGCAAAAAGTAAATACTCCCCAAATCCCCACCATTTCCTTGGCTTAAAAACTGGGAGCAGCAGAGAGAGGGAGAGGGAGAAGCAGGCTCCCTGCTGAGCAAGGAGCCCGATGCGGGACTCGATCCCAGGACTCTGGGATCGTGACCTGAGCTGAAAGCAGATGCTTAACCAACTGACCACCCAGGTGTCCCTTGACATTTCTA